ATGACACGCGTATTATTGGTAGGAGGAGGCCTTACCAGTGCTCTTACAGGTGCTATATTGAGACGAGAACTTCCGCATGTAGAGTTGGTATTATGGGACAAATCCAGAGGGGCAGGTATGTACAGAAAGGGTAGATTTAGAGGGATAGTTGGATTGGTATAAATGATGGTAGATATTTTTTTTTTTTTTATACTTTGTGTTTTTTTGATAATGACAGTGTTTTGTTCATCTCAGTATTGAATAATGTAGCTGGTATGTCTTCAGATTATGTAGGTTTGAAATAAAGATCATATAAATGTTGAATCATCAACAAATTCCTAATAGCTGTAGCCTTCTAGATATGAGAAAAACATAATTTTCTTTTTTTTTATTCTTTGCTTTTTTTCCTAATACATTTTAGGAGGACGGATGGCCACTAGCCGGAGCCCCCACGATAAGGAATGCACGGCAGACTTGGGTGCTCAGTACATATCAGCAACTCCTGAATATGCAAAACTTCACACTACGTATGTATTATTATTTCTGAAGTATTTTTCCTTTATGTTCTTACATCCATTTGATATTGTTTGATTATCATGATTATGAGATGGTTATAAATCTTGTTATTTTATCGAATATATAGTAGATGTGGAGACATAACTGCATTTTTTTGTTTTAACTATTTCTTTTTCTTATTGACATCTGTTTGACTTATTTAAAAGATGATGTGTAAGTGTTTTATTCACATTTTTCATACTTATTTATGTGTATTAATTTCTCTCAACAGTTATTATGAAGAACTGATAAATGCAGGAGTGTTAGCACCACTAACTACAAAAGTGGTTGGCATGAAAGTCACAGATGAAGGCACAAAGCATTATGTAACACCAAGTGGAGTATCATCCATTGTGAAGCACTTTATGAAAGAAGCTGATATTGATGCAAAGTAAGTATCATCTCTTGGGAGGTAGGAGTATATATATATATTTTTGTATTGTTTTGTTTTGTTTTTTTATAATTGTGTATATTTTAACAGCTAGGGAAGATTTATTACATTTTGTGAATCATCTGTTATTTGTTATCTTTTGGTTTATATTCATATCACTTTATTTCCTGGATTTGTTTTCTGGATTTCTCTTTCTCTTTCTGGAAGTTTTAATGAACATTTCATTTTCCAGATTTGGTCACCATGTTAGTAGTATAGAAACAAATGATGGCAAATGGAACGTCAAAACTCAGCAGGGAGAAGCAGATAACTTTGATGCAGTTGTACTCACCATGCCTGTGCCGCAGCTGTTTGGCCTTACTGGATCAGTCAAGGAACTTTTAGGTATATTAAGCATGGCTGATACTGATACTTTGTCCTGAACCTTGGGTTACAAATAATAGCTCCTTTAAGCTGAGAAAATTTTGTAGGACCTGAGAAATTAGTATTTAAGGTCAGACCCTAGTGATTTTTTTGTTGTTAAATGTTGTTTCTTCAATGTCTTTGAAAATTTAATTAATAAATGGAAATTTGGTGCCAATTTATGGTCGTATTGCATGTGGAAAAAATGAATAACCATCAATATATGATCATGCTTGGACTTGAGATGCAATGATAGCCAGGAAGTATATCTTTACATAATTCAAGATGTGTATTTTCTATGTAGAAATACCTTTTCTGACATTCTTGGAAATTTTGGTGCTTTTGTGAATGGGAGAGAAGTTATCATTTGCTACATTTTGACTTGGTTTAGGAAGTCTTGTCTGATTAATAATTTTGAAGAAGATACTTCAAAATTCTGAGAACATTCCATTCCATTCTAATACTGCATATTTTTCTTTCAGAAAAGGATGAGAAACTACGCTCAAATTTACAAGCAGTTGATTATAGTTCTCGTTATGCATTAGGCCTGTTCTATGAGAAGGGCACATCCATTAGCTTAAAGGACAGTGAAGCATCGGCCCAATATGTTACAAATGACCCAATTATTCGCTTTGTTGCAATTGATAATCAGAAGCGAGGTGCAGGTAAGCTGAAAGCCATTTCTTGTGTAGAAGAGATCTATCCTGCTAGCTGGGTATAATCAGAAGGTCTTGCTGAGAAGAGCTTTTTGTACATAGTTGTGATAAATAATGAACAGTAGGTAGTTTAAATAATCTGAATGTTTTAGGACCAATCATATTGAACTAGTCTGTACTTAAACTGATTTGCACTTCTTGCAGAAGATAATGCTCCATCAGTTGTGATACATACTTCAGTGCCTTTTGGCAAAGCTCACGTGGAAAAGACACCAGAGCAGGTGCAGCCCATGCTAGTTAAACGCGTCAAGGAAATGTTCCCTGAATGGCCAGAACCAAATTTCATTAAGTGCCAGAAATGGAGATTTTCTCAGGTATTGCTTGCTTTGCTTGCTTAACATGCTTTTTATATTTATATTTGGAATATTGTTTATAGAAAATTTGATTAGATAAAGTAGACTTTCATTAAACCAGACTTGATAATTCAAAATGGTATGACTTCTTTTCACCAATAAAGTCTGAGGATTCCAATCATAAAACAGACTTTCTGACCTCAGTCTGATGATACTGAAGATTCCTCATTTATTCAGAAATCATTCAAAACTATAAAAACTTCAAATAAGTTAGTCAAGGAACCAGAGGAAAGGAAAGGTAGATAACACACAGACTTGTCTTCCTGATATTCTTCAATAACAGTCCAGATTAGGAAGGAAAAGTCTGAGCGCTGGTTATATCATACATTTGGCTACGCGGGACAAAGTGCTGCCTCAATTAGTCTGATTTACTGAGGGTCTACTGTTGCTAGAAGAGAGAGAGAAATAAAATGTATTGAATGAGATGATGAATATGTGATATATATTTATCTAGATGTTGAAGATGGTGCTGTTTACTTTTTCTTCAGGAAATGGTTACATTGACATTGCCTATTATATGCTTGTTTCTTATTTTTTCTTCAAGGTTTCTTCAGCATATCCTGGTCTCCCAGGATGTGTAACGCTCTCTGATGGCTTAGTTGTTGGAGGAGATGGATTTACTCATTCCAACATGGATGGCTGTATAGAATCTGCTAAGGCCATTGCAGCAGCTGTTGTCCAGTATGTTAGTAAATGTTAGCATGCCTCATATTGTTCTATTGCATTGTAAAGTGTCCTTGTATTGAAACTAACAGTGGATGTGAATGATATGAAAAAAAAGGCTGTGGGAATTTGGATTTGTAATAAACTAATTTGTTATGTAGATTAAGAAAAGCTTTGGAAGCTTTCATGTGAGCAGCTTTTGAGAATGTCATATTTTACACCAAGTAAAGATGTTCAGTATTGGACACTGATATTATGAAGTTGGCTTTGTACATCACAGAAGTAGACTTTCTTTGTTTTGCTAACATCAGAACTGTAGTTGAATGAAATGCTTTGGCCAACACACTTGCAAATAATTTAGCATAATAAGCAAAAATAGAAGATTCACTAGAATATTGGAGATCCGCAGGTAAGGGGAATTCCATCGTAAACTAATATCCTGTAGTAAGTAGAGCCATTCACAAATAATTCATTAAAACTAATACGTAAGAGTATAATTATATAGACTAATTGAAGTTCCTTTCACAAACAAGTTTACCAGCATATACATTAATATTATTCATACAGTAGTCACAAGTATGCATAAGATTTTATGAATATCTGTAATTATTGTATTATAATTCTCTAATTTATTTTGCATAGTTACAGCTCCAGTTTCACAGTTCACAGTTATATGATTTCTTGATCATGTACAAATTGTAATGATATGTTATATTTTAAATTTTTAAATATGTTCAGATAAATTACACTTTCTTTCGACTTATAAAATCACATATTTATATTAATGATTATATCTGGGCAAGGAAAGTCCTCACTATATTTAAGTGTGATTGTAAACAAAGTTACACACAAAAAAATTGTCTTTCTTTCCTTCTCTTACTATTAAGTTGAAAAAGTGAAATTAGAGAGAGAAGTGGTTCCAATACAATGGATAAAAGCATAGAATGATACTGATATTAAACCAGTGGCAATTTTCCAATTATTGTGTATAATTAATTTCATTATAAGATTTTAAAAACTAGTATATTCAGAAATATTGGAAGTTTTTGTTGGAATGTTAGATAAACCTTTGTTACTGCATGGACAATCACATAAAGCAAATGCATGAAGAAGAAATTGGCTTTTACCATGCAAGGATTCATTTTTATTGAAATTGTCCTGAGATTTTATCAGTTGCCATAATTTTTGCTTATACAGGACAGCAAATGTGACTTAGATGTGATTAATGTTGCTATAAGTGGTTTCTCCTGAGAGATAGCACTGAAAACAGAATATTCCTGTGTGTGACAAAGTAAAAGCTTCAAAGATGAAATTGCCTTCTCATACTAATCAAGCATTTGTTATAAGCTTAATGACAGTTTGCAGTTGGGAAGGTAGTAGGCAGGTAGAGGTAGAAAGACAGAAAATCATTCAGATAGTCTTTTGCGAAATATACAAGCTGGTAATGTAAAAAGCAGGTAGTTAAAAATCAAGAGAAGCACAGAATTGTTAAATTTAAACAGTGCATGACTAGTCAGATATCTTTGTACACTAAAACTGGTCAGACATGAGTTAAGGTGTTAGAGACTACACAGTCCTGTGTCTGGCAGGCTATAACCCACCACCTCCGTGCATAGAACCCTAAGAAATAATCAACCTTGAGGGAGATGCTATATTCACAGACAAACTTATGTAAAAGATGTATGGAATTTTGTCTTGAAGACCCAGGTAATGTGAACCTTGTTGGTTTGTTTAGGAGCATTTAGAAGCCTTATACATGGTACATGACTTGTCTGTGACTACTAAGGGTCAGTAAAATCCACTTACAACCATTCCCTTTGTAGGCCTGTAGATATCAATGGCTTGGTGGGAATGCTATTTTCATTGTTCTTTTATGGTTGTAAAGCTGTAAATAAGAGTTTAGTGGCTTCTCACTTTTCTAAGATATTCTTTTACTGTTCCATTTTAAGGCTTATGTGGAATATTTAAAAAAATTCATTTTACAATAAGAATATATGGTAATACATTCTAATAATAATATTAATTTGAACAGGTAAACACATGATGTCGAAGGTCTAATGGTGCCGAGAAAGGAACAATGGTCTAGATCCACCAAGACATCTTGGATTGGCCAAAGCTGACTGATTGAAGTTTTAGAAGAATTTTTATATTATTTAATGGGAAATATGTACAGAAGATATAATGAAATCTACGAAAATACTCCGGTTCATAGAGATGTGGTTTTATTTCTCCATATTTTTACTATAATTTAGACATATACTTGAAATAAAATTTATGAACAGTAACATGAGAGTGTATGGAATTCTCCCCAGATATTAATGATGTAATACTACATGTTATGTAGTATTATTGTACTTTAAATTAGTTGTTGAAATTGAAGACAAAAAAGTACATAAATCATTAAAAATCAAATACACCCAAAATTAATAATGTACATTATATATTCAGTAGTTTAAGCATAAGTAAAGAATTCACTTATAATCCAGTTTTATATAATCTGTATTACAAATGAAATTAAATAAAATACATTGTACTGAAAGCAATTTCATAAAGTTAAACCATTCAAGTAGTCGCTTGTGGAGGGGTGGTGGCCCGGGCATCAATCAGAGAGGGAATAAAGATAAGTGGTTTTGAAATTTACATTTAAATCGAATATAGTGTATTTCATATTTCGTCTGTGATTACATATTCAAAATATCTCCCTTTCTCATAATACTTCTCAGCACTAGGCCTTACACTTGAGTCTTTGAGGCATATAGGTAAGGAGTAGGCATCACCAGACTCCTGCACGTCACTAGATCATTCAAGTCTAAGGTTAAAACATTTAAAGAGGCATTTAAATTTAAGCTTCTAATTCTAAACATTGTACAGAATGCTCATAATATTTGAACATTGTAGAGTAATTAATTAGATCTTTACCTATAGAAGTGTTGCGTGGTATCAAATAATGGAATCGGCTAAAAAGGCTTAACAAGAAAAAAAAATTAAAATTACGATCTTTGCTAATTACTGGCATATCGATATCGGTAAATTGCATACGCTGAATTTATCATTTTTGAAAGACGGTCTTATTAATTAGACATAATGTGCACACTCTGGGTAGCCAATACCTGTTATTCTTAAAATCTGAAAGCATCATGTGCTATTACGTCATATGATGACGTTTCTTCCAACCACTGAGCTGATTCCAACACAGCTGATTAGAAAACGGAAGGAGGGTGCCAGACACAGAAAACTGTTTTAAGGGGAACTATATTAAACCGTTACGTAAGTTCATTCACATTACGATGGGAGCGTGTACCCAAAAATGATTCCAAAACGTTCAGGTATACAGTCAGACATATATGCAGATAAGTAGATGAATAGATAGAGAGAGAGAGAGAGAGAGAGAGAGAGAGAGAGAGAGAGAGAGAGAGAGAGAGAGAGAGAGAGAGAGAGAGAGAGAGAGAGAGAGAGAGAGAGAGAGAGAGAGAGAGAGAAAGAGCCCCTTTGTCTTTGCCCTTGGTATTAAAGTCTTTTTCACACAGAAACTTTTTGCTGATCGTATTCGTACATGCGTGATGTAACAACACAGGAAGTGTTGGTTGCGTTAGCATCAGCGTCCTTGTTAGACAAGAGAAAAAAAATTGATAACATGCCTAACCACAGAATTCTCAGCAAAGGAAAAATATGCGGCAATCGCTGAATACGTTTAGTATTACGGAGATATATGTCCTCTATACACAGTAGTAGGTCAGCATTGGTAACAGTGAGCAAATAACAAAATCCATGCAACACGCACGCGCATGTCTATGCGTGTCTATATGGATGAATAAGTAGATAAGTAGTTTGACGAATTAATGAAACAAAGTATCGTACAATTACACGAATAAAGAACAGAACGTTTTACTCAACATCGAAACAGTGGAGGAAATGACACCGACATCCTCTCATAAGAGAAATGAAAGTGGGTACCACGAACAAACCTCTTAATGAAAAAAAGAGAGAAACACAATAGTAACAGCTACATCACATCACAAGAATATGGAAAAGGGAAAACAAGAAAACGTGAAAAAGTAACATATCGTATTCATAAGGAAGAGACTGGGAGTGGTAATTCTATCATTGACGCTTTTATCAATTACGGGAGAAAAATCATATGATATTGACGACAATAATGCTACAGCACACACAAATATTACAATATCATTGCAAGAAAAATCACATCATTTGACAATAATACCAATAGCACACACAACTATTGCAAAATGTTACATATATTTATATCAATATACAACTATCATAAAACTACTACAATAAAAATCGCATGTAATTTGGCAGCAATACAGTGGTACACATAACAGATAAAATATACTACAAGAAAAAAACAGCAAACAGACGACTATTATATAATTATTACTAAAACTTCTTACAACGAAAATCACATACCAACAGCACACAACTAATTAAAAACTAGTACTGAAAATATTTAAAAAATTAACCAGACACACGCAACGACTACAAAATTATAATATATGTATGTATATATATGGATATATATATATAATATATACATATATACTAATATATATTATAAGGAAATCACATAATATAACAGCAATACCATTAGCACGACAGCCACGACTTCGAGTACGACACTTTCCTTCTCCTCGAGAACGACAGCGCTCGGAATATCAACACAGAGGTTGATGGGCGTCCCGTGATCAACACTCCAAAGGAATATCTCATGGCTGCTAGTGACGGTAACTATGCATGTGAATAAAGAAATGAGGGTGGAATTATGGAAAGGGGGTGGATATAAAGGTTGGGTACGGGTTTGGTCGCATTTGGGGTACTTTAAGCAGGTTGTTGTGGGTGTCTTCCATCGCCTCTCGAAAACTGGGTGGTGAAACCTGTCAAAGTGTCGAAGTGTCACGGTGGGTTGTTGAGTTTGTAGGGCAGAGAAGGGTTGTGTGATGGATTCATTTTTGGGTTGAGGTCGAAATCTGTGTCCCGTTTCCTGCAAGTGTGGGTGTTCTTAACCCCGCCCACCTCTCGGATATGGGTCGTCTCGAGTGTAGGGTTTCAGGGGGTCAACCCATATTTTTAAGGGGGTTTGTGATGGTAAATAGGCCTCGCATGTTTCTTACTTAATCATCTCATTTGTATCTATCGTTTTGTGACTGTTCCTGCCTAGAGAAAATTTCCGCAGGTGGGACGATTACTCAGTGGTAAAAAATTCAGATACGTTGGTTATTTTGTTTATCAGGAGAGGAATGCTGCAGTTTACATATTCTGTTGAGGCGGTATTTACAGTTGACATTGGGTATTTGTTAAAAAGTTCATCAGTTTGTGAGTTGCGAAGGGCAGTTGCTGTAATCCCTTCCATGTCAATTTCTTACATTCTTTCAAACTAAAATTGACATTGCCAGAAACCCATAGTTCTTATGTTAATATATCAACAATTAACTCGTATTTACTCTGTTATCTCCTGTATTTATGTACAATGACGGTTGAACATATTTATACTCATTGAAACTTTGAGTTGTTTTAAATGGTTGCGAGATTTTGTTATAGGATATTTACAAATGAAAAGATGGAAAAATAACTTTTTGTTTGATGTATGAGAGTTTCAAGCATGCCTTGGTTCAATAAGGCTCAGTGTCGCTTTTGGGGAGTTTGTGAAGTATGATGGATATAGAACTGATACTGACGACTACTTCTATTCGATATATAGGTTTTAAATGAGGCAGATGGAGATAGAAATGCGTAGATAGACTGCTGGTGTGTTTGACTGAGACGTAACGTGGACAGTCTCGATCTGAGCGGATAGAGGCTGTGGTGCGACATGCGAATATCTCAGAGGGGGTTGAATAGGCTAATATGAGTATAGTCTGGTAGTAGAAGGTATAGGTATGGGGGATGTGGCTGGCATTGTTTTGATAGAAAATACTGTTGCCTCAATGCAATCCCTAATATCATGGTATCTATACTTTTGTTTTGGTTGGATTATGTTATTTGATATGATTCGACTATTGAGTACAGTTCCATAATAGCAGGACTATACACGAATTATAGATTACGATTGGGATACTAGGAGGCTTACACACATAACATTAGTCAAACTTGCACCGCTTTCAGGTACATCCTCACACTCATGTTCACATAAACGTCGCTGCAACTCACCACGTCACGATAGCTACCACTCACACTCACTCTCCTCACTCTTCATCACGTCACTCGCTAAGAGGTTCCTCGGAAAACGTCACTCGCGCACGATGGGTCAGCTAAGTACGCGGAGAGCTCACGGTCTTACGGTCACTCATCGTCACCGTCACATCACTCATCCGAATCAGTTGCTCACTCACGGGTGCAGCAGATTGGGGCTCACCTCACTCACGTCGCACTCACTGCACTCACGTCAGACTTCACTCACCGTCACAGTGAGGGTTAGGGGAGGAGTGAGACAGTGCGTGAGATCTGGTCAGTGTAGACTCACGGTCATTCACTCACTTGCACGTCACCTTCACTCACTCACTCACTTCGACTCACTCACCTCACTCACGGTGTACTCACTCACAACACTCATTCATGAGAGTCGTAGCGCATGACAGAGATAGCGGGCGTGTACATCCGGTATTCATTCTCATGTAGGGCGCAGGTTCTCATCTCTGTGATTATTGGGTTGTTGTAAGGTCTCTGTACAGATGCTCTCAACGCGCGTATCTCGTCGGGTCGACTTCACTCGCACGTGTTATTCTTGGGCATATGTTCTAGCGGAGCTGCGCTAGGGTGGGCAGCGTGGCGAGTCGAGTATACGTGTTAAATCTTCAGTTTGGCCATGCCGTCACGTCACCACTAGAGCACTGTAGATCATTCATGCACTCACTTCAGCTCACTCGACTCACGTGGACCCTCAGCTCATCACGTCACACTCACTCACTCACCTTCGATACTCACGCACTGTGACTAAAGACTGGCAGACTCAGTCATCCGGCAATGTCACTGTTCACTCATTCAAATGCACTCATTCATCACTCACATCACCATCTGGATTTTCACATTGCACTCACATACTCAACTATTTCACATCACATCAGTCACTTACACTACTCATTAATACTCATTCACTCCTCCCACTATCATTCTCACTCAACTGACCACACACATATACTTCACACATAATCATCCTCACACATAATCATATCTCACTCAACTCACTCATAGTGCCCACACACACACTACACCTCACCCCCCCCCCCACATACTCTCCCCCTCTCTGCCTCTCCCTCTCCTCTCTCCTCTCCCTCTCCTTCTCCCTCTCCCTCTCCTCTCCTTCTCCCTCCCTCCCTCCCGCACCCACAACCACATCACACATTCACGTCACACTCATTCACTTCACTCATTCACTCACTCATTCACTCACACTCACTCATTCACTCACTCATTCACTCACACTCACTCTTCACTCATACTCACTGATTCACTCACACTCATCCATTCAACTCACACACTCATTCATTCACACTCACTCATTCATTCACACTCACTCATTCATTCACACTCACTCATTCACTCACACTCACTCATTCACTCACACTCACTCACTCACTCATTTACTCACATTCACTCATTCATTCACACTCACTCATTCACTCACACTCACTCATTCACTTCACTCATTCATTCACTCACACTCATGCATTCACTCCACTCATGCATTCACTTCAACACTCACTCACATTCACTCATTCACTCACATCTCACTCACTCATTCACTCTCAACTCACTCACTCATTCACTCACACTCACTTCATTCACTCACACTCATTCTCACACTCATTCACTCACACTCACTCATTCACTCTCACTCACTCACTCACTCACACTCACTCAATCACTCACACTCACTCAATCACTCACACTCCTCATTCAACTCACACTCACTCAATCACTCAACTCACTCATTCACTCATTCACTCACACTCACCATTCACTCACACTCACTCACCTCACTCACTCAACACTTTACAACTCAATCACCACTCACTCATTCCTCATTCACTCACTCATTCACTCACTCACTCCACTCAAATGACTCATGCACTCACCATATCTCACTCATTCACTCACTCAGTCACCACACTCACTCATTCAATCACTCATTCACTTCCTCACTCATTCTCACTCACTGACTCACACACATTACTCACACATAAATATACTCACACATAATCATACTCACTCAGTCACACTCACTCATAGTCACACACACATACACACTCACCCCCCCCACATACTCTCCCTCTCCCTCTCCCTTCTCCCTCTCCTCTCCCTCTCCCTCTCCTCTCCTCTCCTCCTCCCTTCTCCTCTCCCTCTCCTTCCCTCCCTCCTCCCGCACCCACAACCACATCCACACATTCACTACACTCATCCCTCACTCACTTCTTCACTCACTCATTTCACTCACCACTCACTCATTCACTCACTCATTCACTCACACTCACTTCACTCATACTCCTTTCACACTCACACTCACTCAATCAATCACACTCATATCATTCACACTCACTCATTCACTCACACTCACTCTTCACTCACACTCACTCATTCACTCACACTCACTCATTCACTCACACTCACTCATTTACTCCATTCACCTCATTCATTCACACTCACTCACTTCACTCACACTCACTCATTCACTCACACTCATTCATTCACTCACACTCATGCATTCACTCACACTCACTCCTCACCACTCACTCATTCACTCACACTCACTCACTCATTCACATCACTCACCACTCACTCACTTCACTCACACTCACTCACTTCACTCATTCACTCACTCACTCACTCACTCACTCACACTCACTCACTTTCACACTCACACTCACTCATTCACTCACACTCACTCATTCACTCAACTCACTCACTCACTCATCACTCACACTCACTCATTCACTCACACTCACTCATTCACTCACTCACATCAACTCATTCACTCACACTCACTCATTCACTCACATCATTCACTCACACTCACTCTTCACTCACACTCATTCATCACACTCACTCACTCACACTCACTCTTCATCACACTCACTCTCACACTCACACTCACTCATTCACTCACACATATTCATTCTCACTCACTCATTTACTCACATTCACATTCACACTCACTCATTCACTCACACTCACTCATCACTCATTCACTCATTCACTCACACTCATGCATTTCACTACACTCATTCATGTCACTCACACTCACTCACTCTTCACTCACTCACTCCTCATTCACATCACACTCCTCACTTCACTCACACTCACATCATTCACTCACACTCACTCATTCACTCACACTCATCTCACTCACTCACTCATTCACTCACACTCACTCATTCACTCACACTCACTCATTCACTCACACTCACTCATTCACTCACACTCACTCAT